GTATATTTTCAATAAAATATTTTATAAGTAAACTGTACCCTATATTATTAATAATTTATTATGTTATTTAAAAAATATTAAATTTAATTTAAAAATCCAAGCAAATTTTCCTGAAAAACAGTTTAAGGGATAAGGCACTCTCTTCCACGGCACACCACAAACACCAGTTTAAATGTTATTTGAATGATCCAACATGAAACATATAGATAAATCTAATGACCCCTTTACAATGAGATTTGTTTTTTGTAACTCTACTTATGAAAATGGTGTTAGAATATGAAAGATGTAAGCAACTGGATCTATAGATCATATAATAGCAAGTCCTAAAAATGCATATTCAGAAGGATCTGGCGGTGGATAATCTGTACATGGAAAATAACGTGGAGGCTACTATTATTTAGAATACATTTTAGTTTTACTAAATTAGATCATATTAATACATAATTGTTAAAGGATACGTACAATATTTATTCCTTTTTCTTACGATGCTTCTGATTCATCACCTATTTCAAAACTTTTGTCTACATCTAGAATACTTCCAACTAAACCAACAATTGAACCGTTTAACACATACAAAAGTTGACTCCAAGGAACATCTTCAGAGAAAAACGAAACCTCCCTTTGTCAATCCTTTGATCCAGTCCAAACACCATGTAGAATGATGAATCAATGGTTTTTCAAATTGCCACCATTTAGTATTTCCTTGTTTTGCAAGCATAACTGGCGTAGAATAAAAATAACCAATGCAATTTTAGGTGGGTCTTCATTTGGTGGTGGTATGACAGAAGTAGGAAATTATGGAAGATTTTGATACAAATGAATTGATGAATAGAATTGAAATAAATATGTTGACCTAGTAAAGTCAAGGATACGAAAAAAGAGATCATATCCCATACATGCGTCTGGATCACAGGCGATATCACGACGATAAACGATTACCAATTCAAGTAAACAATCCAAATAATAATCGGGATCGTATTGCTACTAATGTAATAAGGTCTATAAGGTTATTGGATGTGAGTTAATGGCGGTCATATTTATAAATTGTTTATTAGAGCAAGATAAACGAAAAAGTCGAAATACATACCAAAAATAGGTGAGTTCAATATGTTTGGTCCGGATGGGGTAAATTTTGATTGTCTAACATCGCTTTCAATATAAGCAACTTTAGGACAACTAATATAGTAAGAAATTTAAAAAAATTAAAATTTGCTGACACACTTGCTAGCATATTGTTAAGCAAATATCTAGCAAAAGTTGATTTTCCAAAGTTTCGATGTCCACAAATAATGGCACATCCAAGTTAAGCAAATATCTAGCAAAAGTTGATTTTCCAAAGTTTCGATGTCCACAAATAATGGCACATCCAATATTAATTTAAAAGCCATTATTATCGAATTAAACCGATCAAGTTATAATGTCTTTTAAAGCACATACTATAATTAATTACATAAATAGCGAGTTGATTCGATGCATTCAGCCGAGAATCAGAAATTTGAAGTGATGTTAGCCCAGATATAACTTCAAACATCTAAGAAAGGATCATTATTATCTAAAATAAAATTTAATAATACTGTACCCAGTTGCAAAATTTAACCATACCGGATAAACTCCAGGAATTTGGAATAAATTTCTTTTTATCAAAATGGATTCATCACTTTGATTATTCCTGGATGAATTTACGTGCTCGGCCGTAAATATGCCTTTAAAGTATGATGATGATATTTTTTCTATTCCTTGAATACAACACTATGTCATTTCTCGGAATGCAATATGGGATCAAAATTTTTTTTGACAAAACCGGATTTTATCGAAAGATCATTAATGGTTTCTTTAATATTCACTGAAACTTTAATTCCGCGGTTTGAAAATATTGGCGTATTTTCTCGT